AGAGGTAGAAGAATGCGCAATAATGTAAATTAGTATATTGAACTTTTTTTCAGATATCGTTTGTCTATGAGTGACCGCGTGAATCCGCTGAAATTTCTTTTAGAACCATCTCAGGTACATTCTTAATGTGAAAAATGGAGATTCAGCCTTTTGAACAGGCACCTGCATGCTCTTATTTTCTAGAAAATTTTTTACTAAGTTCTTTTTTAGGAAGGCTTTCTTGTTTGCTCGTCTTGCGAGAAAGCTTCATTTCCTAAAATTGCTAATCTTCGGGTACATTTCATCCGCTGTGTAGAAGTTTGTGGTCGATACAGGAAAGACTTGCGTCTTGGGAGATCAGTTCTAGAGTCATCCTCTACGTTAGCAGCCATACCAAGGCGACGTAGCAAAAATTCACCGTAAGCCCGTTTATGTTATGACTTCCATGCGTACACTTTTTTGCTGTTATCAGGAGAACTAACGGTTCGAGTACCCATATCATTATATGATGAGAACATGTTATGATTTTGTCTTTCTTTCTCTTTTGGCGGATTTCTGTTTTTTTATACATTTTTTGAAGTTACGACTTTCATGATTTTTATGAAATATGGTGAAGAACCTGTATCAGGGTGAGATGTCCCGTAAAGGACTGCATTTCGGCTTGGCGCCCAAGTTTTGTTTATCCGAATTCGGTTGGTCAAGTGTCGCATATACTGGCTAGACATCTTACCAGTAAAGAAGCTTACAACGTAGCTTTGCAGTTAGGGTGAGGATTTTTGGTAATTTGTTCTGTGGAAGTGGTGTATCTTTATTTTAAGGAAGGAGGAACAGCTTGACAAAGTGTTTCCATATTTGAGCGTATCAGAATCGTTTGCAAACACATTGAATCATCCGAAAACGATGTGTTTGCAATGCTCAAAATGTGAACATGGCTTTCGTAGACCTAATGAACTGGTACAACATGCGAAGCGTTATCATCCTACGAAAAAACACTATTCGTGAGTTTGAAAGTATTCAGACTTGCGCAGAACGATAGTCTCAATCATATTTTCAGTGGAGCACCAAAATGCCCAATCACTTGCGGAATGAAACTCATTCGAAAACCTGGCATGTCGAATGAAGTGCTGAGGCTTTTTCATGTATTCAAATACCATCTCGGTATGGATAAGGCGGTTGCATGGATACGAGAATGGCCAGGGTATGATCCATAATTGCAAAAATAATTAGTTTTGCTGTCATCTGTTTCTGTGGGAAGAATGGAGTCTTAATGAATTTCAGTATTTTTCATGAAGTCAGCAGCTTTCATCTTTCTAATCACAATTTTAAACTTATGGTTGGAACTTTTCTTTGTAGTTGATTCAGTTTTGGAGAGGGAAGATATCTTGAAGTCGTAACATGCTCCATTCTTCCAAAAAA